TAAAACCCTAAATTACACGCGGGCGAAGTCACGGGGAACAGCTAGTTAAAAATCAATTGCCGTGCGTTTGTCTTGCAAAATGGCTCGACCGACTTTGATGATTATTTTGTGTGTATTTGAGTGGGTCGTTTGATGGTTTAGAGTCATAATTGGACCCGGTAGGTGGCGCTGTTATTGAGATACAGAAATCATCCGTGCGAAGCCGGGGCGGAGCGCTAGCGTTGTATAAAAATCGATTCTTAAGGAGTAAACTCAAAAAACGTTAAGAAAAAAGAAAGTAACATTTATTTGCACAGAATACAGGTGGTACCAGATTTAACAATGGTGCATATTTCAAGCTACATTCTGTCTGTATTAGGCATGCAAATATTCATAATTATATAAAACAATTAAAATAATATTATATTACTAACATAACGACAAGCTATATCATTATTTAGCATGTTTATTATTATTGTATTACATTATGTTCAATTTTAAAATAATTAGATACATTAGTTTTATGTTGCATGAACTCTTCTAATGTATAAAAGCACTTATCCACTGTCATTTTCTTAACTTCATTTTAAAATATTTTAATGTAAGTTCGCTGTAGGGTAATACGAGAAGAAGAAATTACCGAAATGCCAACTAATGTTACTATAAAGTTTCTAATGCGCGGCTTTCTGCGTAATAAGATTTGGCGTGCAATGCACATCGCTTACGGTCACCGAGCTCAATACGAATTACCGCAGTTCCCTTCTATTTTCACAAAAGTTTACGACCGCTTTATGAACGTATCCGTTTGTACTGAAACGCATTGCCGGCTCGAAACGACCGTAGTATGCACATTAGCTAGTATGGTCGTGCGCCTCTGTTTCACTGTTTGTATTTCTATGTAGAGATAGCGCGAAAGTTATTTCGGTATGTCGCAGTCACTAAATTTATTATCAATTCACCATCTAGCGTGGTCTCAAGAATGTATTAAAAACTACTATGCTGTACCGTCTCGTAAAAGTATTCATCGTGAATTTGTCCTGGTGGTTTTGTCAGAGGCAACTTTGACTTCGGATGGAAAGCGATGTAACGATTCGACGAGCGTTGAGGCAATTTCTTCCTACAATGGGAGTCCTCATGTACATTCAAAGACTGGTACGAGTTAAAGGATCACTGTTGAACATGTTTTTATACGTAGTAGAGCCATGCTGTAGCTATATTAATGATATAGTTGTAGCACGAATGGGTCGGCTCAACCGGGGAAGGAACACGCTCTCACATAATACCAGCGTAAAGTAGCAGCTTAACGCTGTTGTGTTTCGTATGGTGAGTATAGAGAACCGGAGGCCCTTTTTACTAGAAACGAGGCATTCCATCTTAGTCCTCAGGGGTGACAACCCATCTACATTTTGATACGTAATCGAGGATAGATGTAGATGTCTATGAGCCACAGCAACCACTTACCATCAGGTGGACTGTGTGCTCTTTTGTCACCCTAATTCTATAAAAAAAATGGATCTCAGAATTTGCCCTAATCACCACGAAGGTGGACTAGCGATCGCAGTAATGTCATCCAGATCGAATTACAGTTAAGGCAGTTTTGTCTCAACGGAGACTAAACTAAATAGTGCACGAGTGTGTGTGCAAACACAGGTGAACTCTCTATTTCTCTCACTCTCAGAGTCCGATAACCAATTTTGGCCCGACCTGCGGTTCGTACGTGGGACCACATGAGGCGATCTCAGTACTAAACGTCTCGTACCTTTGACGCTGCCTGCTCCCCGTCGCCAGTTTAGATATTTCAGCGATGAACGTGTCTTTCGGTAGCCTAGAGACCTTACTAGGCCTGCTGGGACTCTTAAGAGGCCCACGGTGCGAAATAGGATGATGGATTCTTTTACGCTGCCTCAACATACCCAAAAACGTGTTGGACATGAGCCTTTCTCATTAAAAAGACTCGCTATAATCACCACCCCTGGCAGTCGAAATGGCAGTCTTTCTTTCATTTGTTGACTCATATGACTACCGAGATAAAATGGAATGAACATGTGTGTTTAAGAGTGATGTATCTGAAAGAATCGAATGGATTGACGTCATATTTATACAATATATTTCCAATTTCAAGATCCGATAGGTAGCGCTGTTCTCAAGTTATTAGCAAATTCTGTAATTATGGACCAATTGACTTAAATTCACAATATAACAATCAGTGGCAACGAAGAATATCACAAAATCGGGATGCAATTGTGACGCTGTGGTCGAACTATGATTATTTTCTTTATAGAATAAGAGTGACAAACAAGCACACAGTCCACCTGATGGTAACTGTATGCTGTGGCCCATGGATATCTATTCTCGATTACGAATCAAAATACAGCTGCGTTACCACCTCTGAGGATTAAAATGGAATACCCTGTTTCCAGTAAAAACGGTCTCCGGCTCTCTACACTCACCACACGAAACAGCAGCATTGAGCTGCTATTTCACGCTGGTATTCTGTGAAAGCACGCTTTCCTTCCTCGGTTGAGCCGACTCATTAGTTCTTCAACCATAATATAGCTACAGTATGGCTCTACCACATATATTACCACTGTAAAAAATTATAGAGAAAATGTAGTTGTTCCCACATTTTGACATATAACTAATACAGTACAGTAGTAAAGCAAAGTCTACGCTAGCAAAGCCGCAGGAAAAAGCTAGTTTTTATATAAAACTTAAGCCTCTATTATTAAAATTTCCATGAAACAAAAATGTTAAGGCTGGGGCAATAAAGCGCCCAGTCTTCACACGTAATTTATTTCATGAAATGTCGAATGATGCGATGAAATATTAACGCGTTTGACTCGGTTTTTACGATGAGAACTCACCTTCTTATCATTGTAACATTTAAAATTAATAGAATTCTTAATACTGACGATTCTATATAAGTTTTCTTTTATTAAAAAATAAAGTAAAGTAAAAGTTACAGCCTATATACGTCCCACTTCTGGACATAGGCCTCCTCACATTTCTGAAAGGGTGCCCTTTCAGAAATGTGAGGAGGCCTATCACCTCATTTACTCATTTATTAAAAAATACAGAGAAATATTTGGGTACGACTAAAACTTTCCACGCACACAGTTTGCATTCTGTGCTACCGTCTAATCTCTAAAAGATCGTTCAGAGTCTATCATCAGTCGAATTTTAGTTATATCCAAAATGACATTTAAATTTTCACATACAAATTAAAACCTAGCTATTCGCTACACTGACCGTCCAAAACAGAACAGCATCATTACTTATCCGGTAGTAATGCTACCAGAGCTACTTTTTTACTTTTTTATGGTGAGTGTAGAGAACCGGAGACCCTTTTTACCGAAAATTAGGCATTCCATCTTAATCCTCAGCGGTGACAACACATCTACATTTTGATTTTCAATCGAGGATAAATGTAGATGTCTATGGGCCACAGTAACCACTTACCATCAGGTGGATTGTGTGCTCGTTTGTCACCCTATCCTATGAAAAAAATGATAAGAGGCTGTTAAGAATAAGAAATATAGGATAAGAATAAGAAAAATGTTAGAATATTCATTTGAAACATACTATAATATTGTTTTTTCACATCTACTATATTTTTACATGTAACGGTTTCGTTGGTTTAGTGGTCGGAAATGAGACTGCTCATCACGGGGCGCCAAAAATCGGTTCTTAAGTTCTTCTGTCAGAAATTCTCAGTAGCAGCCAGGAGATTTCAATAACGTGCCTCGGAAAGCACGTAAAGTCGTTGGTTCTACGCCTGATCTATTTCCGGTAATGACGGATTTCCATCCCCAATGGGACTATGATAGTGAGGGAATAAAGAGTGCAACTTTGCTTGCGCGTACACTCGAGCACCATAGTCCTGTCCTGCACAGATGGCTAGTTTCCGTTGAGACTGGCCACCATAACCGAAGTACGGATATAATTATTTTTACAGACGATAACTTCCAAAAAACTATAGCTTTATATATTATAATTGTTCTGTACGCTGTGTCAATGAGCTCCTCCTAAACGGTTGGACCGATTTTCATGTCAAGTCACTCAAAAAAGATTTTTATTATTTTTGAGTGTGTTTGAGTGGGTTCCTATATGGATTAAACACTCAACAGGACCAATTGTCCACAATTGGGGTAGGTGGTGCTGCAATTGGGGTCTAGATGTTTTTTTTTATTTTCAGGACAGGACAACGTCTCACGGGCTCGCTAGTTTGAAGCTTCGTTTAGATTATCGGACGACGAACAACTCGCCGAATAACTCGCAGTAATTTTTGTGGACTAGCACAACGCGTTTAAATGTTCGTCTATGTTTATTCAACGTGGATCTTTTAAGCATGGAAGACGTGCGTCTCGTTGCCACGACTTTGTGTCTACTAAACTCTTAGGTACCTACTACTACTCGTGCGTATACTCTGTACTCGGCGAGTATCTAAACATTGCATGATATAAAGAGGTTATCAAGTGTACCTGTTGCCGTCGCGCTTCACGAAGTGCGGGTACTGCAGCGAGAAGCAGAGGTCGAGCTCGACGTCGAGCGGCGGCACCGCGATGTCGTTGGAGCGCAGCGTGCGCTTGCTGCTGTGCATGCGCGCCGCCAGGATAACCGCGCCCGCGCCGCCGCCCGCGCCCGCGCCGCCCGCCGCGCCGCCGCCCGCCTCGCCCAGCGCGCCGCACACGCGCAGTCGCGTCACGCGCAGCGTGCATAGCCTGCAAGAACAGTAACATTATACTTTATCTATATTACCGTTACAGCAAGTCACTACTGAATATAGGTCTCCCCCATAGATTGCCTTTTAGGTGGGATATTTGCCATTATTGCAACGCTTGGCTAGCGGGTTGGCAACTGCAGTTTTTTTTAATTTTTAGTCGTTATTAGGACGACACTGCTGAATATCTCCTGGTTTGTTTCCCTCTGTCGCCTCTTACGACACCCACGGCATGATATGGGGTAGAGGATATTCTTACACCGCCACTACACGGTGTATCTACTATTACATATTATTGATAATGTTTGTATTACACATTATTGTTATTAGAGGAGCCGTTGTAACTCAAGGGCAAAGCTCTCGGAGGCTAAGGTTCGATCCCCGCCAGCTCCAATGAAATTATTAATCGCAATTTAAAGCGTTGATTTAGCACGTGCTCGGGCCTTTAAACAAAACATCGTGAGGAAACCTGGGAAGACCTGTGAAGTTAGCCAACACGTACTACAGCAGTGAGGCGGGCAAATTGTTCCATAACTTTTTTAAAAATTACTGTGAATAAGAAAGAGAGCGAAATGAGTGATCGATGACGAGTGTCCAGCGATTGAACGCAAACAGACTGCAATACTTTTTTACATAAATGGTCAGAGCCGTTTGGAGTGTTAGCTAGAATTTCACCGCACACAGTTAATAGCTTATGCACAGCCTTAGCGTAACAAAAGCCTATTCACTCTTGGTTTGAAGCCACTCAGATTGTAATCGGAGGGAATGACAAATGCCCGCAGATTATTCCACTCCTTTGCTGTACGTTTGGTCGGACAACAAAGTGGTGAACACCCGCCTGGTTGTCCGATAGTAGAAAAGGGAGGAAGGAATGAAGACATGCAATTCCTGCGTACATTTTCCGAAAGGACTAGAGCTACTCTGCGCCCGTGCTCGAGGCTGACAAGATTGGTTCCAGCCAAATGAAGGTTACCAATAAATTAGTCCTTTAATCTCTTTCATCGAGGCTTAAAAGGAATGTAAAACGTGTCAATAATATTGTCATAACTCATGTTTCGAAGCACGATGTAAAATACCCAGCCCGTGAGGTAAGATAAAAAGAAGTGCAAAACGATTGCTATCGACAACCCGTTTGCAAAGCAAAGCGCATATCCAGCATAAGCGCAGAGGCTAACGATTACGAAGAAAAACTAATAATTTTTACCTTTGTGCTTATTTAAACACAAACTGGAAGAGCTGTTTTTAACGGAGCAATTATAAAAGCTTTTGTATTCATTAATTTAAGATTTTATGCCCGTGCCAGTGTTAATATAATGCCATCAAAAACATAACTTGTAAAAAAAACCAAGTCTCGCAACTCAAGTTCTCCCACCGTAAAAAGTTACGAGATCCGTGTAATACCAAGTCGGTTAATTTATTCAGTCCTTACTTAAGGGTCCTTCTGTCTCAAGTTATTACGCAATTATTTAACGTAACAACATCTTATAGTGACCATATCAATATTAAAAAAAAAAATTAAATGGATAATAAATAGATTGACGTGATTTTAATGCAACAAAATATCTTATAAAAATATTATATATAAGAGTTACAACAAACGGAGACTTTTGGAGGTGTGTCTACCAAAATCAAGATGTTTTCCATTCGGAACCGGCGGTCGCCCCTTCGGGACCGGCGATCCCAGGCTACCTACCCCAACGCCTTTACAACATTATGTGTCATTGCTTGTTAGTTAAATAAATTTTGCGCTACATACATTATCCATTATACATACATACATACATTCACTTTGCGGAGCCTTTTACATACCTAATAAATACATAGAAAAGTAATAGACGTTTTTTTTTTCACGAAAACAAATACTAAATATTTTAAAGACGATTTTGAGGTGTTTTTCACGCTACCAACAATTTGCTTTTAATTTCACCAATATTATATTTAAATTTTTAATTACTCAAACTGTATGCCGAGGCCAATTTACAAATTGAAAGCATTCAACATCGACATAGTAGTCGTAATTATCATCTCAATGTTATAATAGTCAATGCTAAATTACCAAGCCTCATTGACCCTTTTCATCGAACCCTGAAGGTTCGGAATTAGTTTCATAAACACGTACCGATATTAGTTGAAACACAATTATACACTTCAACTCGAAGTAATTTAGAAACTCTACGTAGACTAAAGTTATTAAGATAATAATCAAGCGGATGTACGCGAAGTTATATTTTGCCAACTTTAATAAAGTTATTAAGACTAGTTTTATAAGATAGTAGAGCGGAGATGAGTGAAAATGGTATATCTACGAACATTAGACGCAGTAAATAATTGAGCTTTCGCTTCTAGATACGTGAGCGGACTTTTTAGTCTAGAATTTTCAATTGAATTTTCTGTTCAAATAACATCTTGCTTCTAAAAGTATCTAACGTAAGAGATAAGTGATAATAAAAAAATTGCGTTATAAAATTTGTAAATTAAATCGTAAAATGTAGAAAAACATGACATTAATAATTAGTATATTTTAATTAATTTATAACTTATGCTTATTCGTACTTCTAAAATAACACTTATAAATAAAAAAATAAACTTTTTGAAAGAACTATAAAAGGGGTGTATTTAAAATGAGGATCGCAACGAGAATATCAACTAAACGACAGCTTATATTTGTAAGAACACGACGCGAACTCCCGCTCACATATTATGTACCTATAACCATGTTTTTAGTTGCCAGTGACAGAATATTACTATTTTAAGTTAGTACTATTATATTTATTGATGACGCCGAAAACAAGCATAGCTTATTTGTAAGAACACGACACGCTTTCACGCACATAATTTTTAAAATTGCAAATTATTTTTAAAATTGAAATGTACGTAATGCTTTGTCAACTTTCTTGTTGGTCAGAGTTCTGAGTGCCACTGACAAGTAGATACAAGCGTTATGCTAAGATATTTTATAAAGAATCTAAAGAGCTAAGAGCTAAAGAACATTACAAAGTCCTTTGGTTAGTCTGCATAAACGTTACCCGAAACAATGTGTATGACAAGTGCAGTTACGTCACTATAGTATAATATGACTTAAATTTTTATACGGTACCTTTTTATTGGTAATGAGACATCCCATCTAATTCCCATATACATTTTGATTCTTAATCGGATTTCTATGTCTACTTACCACCAGGTAGGCTGTGGATCGATTTTAATGATTCTGTTTTTATTAAATAGACTAGATATAAATACTTTAAGTTTGGTACCATATAAGTTTCAAGACAAAAAACCAAGGATGGAAAATTAGGGTATGATGAAGTTTTTATTAATTTAACCATTTAGACGACAACCGAGCTTTTGATATTCGTTAGTCCACTCAAAAGTGACAAAAATTATACTTTTGATAAAATTTATGTAAAGGCTTTGTTATAAATAAATAATTAAAGTATTTAGTGTTTCAAATACTTGTAATGTTTTTCTTTTCACCCACCCACCATATTTTTATAAAAAAACACCTAACATTATTTATTTCTCCTCATAAATAACGTCTGCGGGTCACTAAAAGACTGGTTACTAAGTACCTTTCGAGACTGCAATTTAACCTCAAGAGGTGATCGCAACCGAATCTCGAACTCCAACGGCCATATATCCAATAGCCATCACATAATTTTTTCTTATTATAAGCGAGTGTTTATTACTATTCCACCACGTGGTAAGCGGTGATAAAGCCTTTGAAGACACATTGTAGTCGGACTATATTACAATTTACATCAGATGTGGAATTTCTTCGTAGAACATTGAACGATGACGGGAAGCAGTGACAAGCAAAGGGAAATGCCTGGTAATGCTGTCGCCAAACTGCGGGCAAATCACTGCTATTACGGCATTTCCTCTCTATTATAGCAGAGGTTCATATCAAAAAGTGACCGTTTATAGTTTACGAGCTGATTCCGAACAAATAACAAATGATAGTAATGACTTATGAGTTCTTATACTTACACGAATATTTGACATTGAATAGAATAAATCTTACGGATTATATATCGTTTATTTTAACTTATTTACAACAATTTAACAATTTACTTATTTAAAATGTGAAGGTAGCCGGGCTAACTATGACATCGTGATATCAACCCCCTCAGTCCTCCTCGTTACCATGGGTACTGTAAAACACCCAAAACATTTTGAATTAAAAATAAATTAAATTAAAAGCGATAAAATCCGTAAAATCAATTTTATACTAAGTGATAAGATTTTTTTGCCTAGGAGTCTGTCTGTGTAGGTGCAACCCCTCTTACCTATTTCTGTCGCCAAGCAACAGTGCGTGCTCTATTGTGTTCCGGTCCGGAGAGTGTAGAGAGCCAGTACAATTACAGACAGTGAGGCATTCCATCTCAGTACTGCAACGCATCTGGAAACTTCTCTGTATGAAGTCGACTGCAGATGTGTACAGACTGTAGTAGACTTCCCACCACGTATACTGTAAGTTCATTTGTCATTTCAATACGATAAAAAAATTATTGTTAAGGGCTGCCGGTTCCCTACAATCATCATTAAGCTGCTATTTTACATTGGTGTTCTGTAAAAGCGTGGTAGTTCCTCGATCGACCCGAGCCATTCGTGCTACAACCATAATAAAGCTGCAGCGTGGCTCTACTACGTAGAATTAGTGTTGCCCAAAATGGGTCTTGGTCTTGTTCTTGCATTTTTCCTACCGACTGCCTAATTTTAACAAGACTGGGAACACAATACCAAGACCAAGACTGGCTAAGTCTCGTCTTGTTCTTGCATTGGGGCAACACTATGTAGAATATTATATTATATTATTAAGTAGCTGTACTGTAAGTTCATTTGGCACTCCTATTTTACTAAAAAAAATATACGATGTTCATATGTTTTTTTTTCCTGTAAACGAGAGTCCATGAACAATGTGCCTACCGTCCCAACTATCCATTTCCCGATAAACTAACATATCGATAATTCTCAGTGGCGTTGCCGGCTCGCTACACCGGAAAATTACCAACTCTCCTTATACGTGCGATAGTCACCCGGCATCGGTTTTAAAATACAAATAAGCGTATATTCCATGCCAATTTGAACATTACCTCCATAAATTTTCCATGTCAGTTTAATTGTTGCTTTTACTGCTATTTAATTTTAAGTGTAACCAACGTTTGCTTTTCTCGAAGTTGACAGCATTCGTAGACGATATATTGTTTTTCTGGGACGTACATAAAACCGTGCTATTTTGGTTTTAAAAGCGCTGAGCTTATAATATGTGGTAAGACTGATTTCATGTAGTAGGGAAATACCCATTTCTGAAGATAAAGAGAGCCAGAAAATTCGAGGCTGTGAAGCATTAAATCTTATTATATATTAATATT